GCAGCAGCAGCACTGGTGGTGGACTGGTCCCGCTCGCGGGTAGGGTGGGGGTGGTGGTGTCGTGTATGGTGTGTAATGTGGGCTGGGGGTTGTGGTGTGTCTGGTGCCTCGTCGTGCGTGCGTGCGTGCGTGCGTGTGTGTGTGTGTATGTGTGTGTGTGTGTGTGTTGGTTTGTATATGTGGTGCGTGCGTGCATGCATTGGTATGTGCGTGCGTGCATGTCTGGGCGTGTGTGTCAAATGGCACATGTATGTATGTGTGCTTTCGCACGTGCAGGGGCGTAGATAGCGGGGGGGATGGGGGGGATGCATCCCCCCCACTTATTGACGTGGGGGGGATGGCGTGTACAATCACCCCCCCCTACTTTCAGGAGGAAAAGGGGGGATTCAAAATTTTCTGGGGGAGGACCGGCATACCCCGCATGTTTCTTACCACCCTCCTCGAAAACCTGCATTGGCCACTGTCGAGCGTAACAAATTGAGCACCCCCACTTCAAAAATCGTTCCGCGGCACCTGTAGAGTACTGCTAACAAAGATTATGATTATGAATATTTGTATGCATATCAAAAGTCAAATTTGAGTTCATCTGACAGGGGCGTAGATAGCGGGGGGATGGGGGTATATACCCCCACACTTATTGAGGTGGGGTGGCTTTCATCCCCCCTACTTTCAGGAAGAAAATGGGGAAAAAATTTAATATTTTACAAACAATAAATACTGGATATTTATCTACAAATCCGTCATCGCTATTCATACTCTCCTAATGTATTATTACAGAAATGGAACGTGACATACATCTACTGTAAAATGGCTGTAACTTGTTCCAAGAATGACATTATTTTACTGAAACTCAGATGGTTAATTTTGGACGCATTCCCCATATACGATTTTTTTTTCAAAATCCTTAGTCTTATCACTGCTCACGAAAGTTAAATCCTTGCTTCATTCAAAATTAGAATAGACCTATTGAGAGTTGGGATATTGAATTTTCACGGGGATTGAATGGGAAAATTCAATTTCATCTCACTTTTTTGGTGGGGGGGATGGGGGTTCTGAGACCCAACCGGAAGTATATTCTCGATTTTGTATAAGGGGTGAAAATGTGTGTATGCACATGAGTGTGTATAAGAAAGGGGTGACAGAGGTGTCTCTAAGGTGTGTGTGTGTGTGTGCGTGCGTGCGTGCGTGCGTGCGTGCGCGTGCGCGTGCGTGCGTGCGTGTGCGTGCGTGTGTGTGAGTATGTGCGTACACATGAGTGTGTATGAGAGAGGGATGAAGGAGGTTTCTCTACGTGTGTGTATCTGTGCGTGTGCGTGCACGTGCGGGCGTGCGTGTGTGTGTAGGGGTTAGTTGGGGAGTGCGTGTGTGCATGCACATGAGTGTGTATGAGTGAGGGGTGAAGGAGGTGTCTCTAAGGTGTGTGTGTGTGCGTGCGTGCGTGCGTGCGTGCGTGCGTGCGTGCGTGCGTGCGTGCGTGCGTGCTTCACACAACGATGTACAGCTCAAGAAGGAGAACATCGAGAGGCCACATTGCATGTGTTGGTGGAGGTTTGTGCTGACCAGTGTTGCTGCATCCTGCCGACGCAGCTACTCACACAATTGCTTTCACTCTGCTAGTAACATTCTAAATAGTGAGGGGACCACAGTTTGTTTGTGCTATGGTCCACATATGTAACATTACTTAATGCCACAGCACAGAGATGTTTTAATCGTGACAAATCTACATATGCTTCTGTCAGTGTCTCAGAGGCAATATTCTCTACAACGAAGTGCTCTCTGTGACACTGGAAGTATATATTGAATAGTAATTGCTGGTTGCGCTGCTTGCTTGTTACCTGACGCTTGTTGACAGTTGTGCTGTGAGTTTTAGCTGGGCACTGTATTAACCGCGTTATCGGTTAAAGCTGCCATTCTCTTGCGCAACGGCCTTACAGGCTATGACAGCCCTCGGTGCGAAGGTACATGCTTTGTAGCTACTAGACTGCTTGCCAGGCTGCTTATTTACATATATAAGCATTAGCTGCTGATAGGGATTACCACACCGCCTGCCCACTAACTCACCTTTATTATATAACTTTATCCTATATAATATCCTTATATGTTCCTCTATGTTGAAACCGTCAGTTTTTTCACAGCCATTGCTTCCAAACCAAAACAAACACAAACAATCAGGGTTGCCTCATCTATATTGTTAGATATCACAGGAAATTTTGTGTTTTAGCCTTTACCAACACTGGTTTACTAGTTTCAACACATAAGGTTTCAGTCATGCGGCAATAAGTTGTAAAAGAATACATATTAAAAATCAGTCAACACATTCTAGGCAACTCAAACGTAAAATCCACCACACATGTTTTCACCGCCCCAGCTTCTACCACTGGTATTCCCTTCCTCTCTATCTCAGTTTCCAGTTTAGACCACATTTCTCAACCCATTAATGCAAGCGTTACACTATGCATAACCACTAACCAAGAATTTACACAATATTGTTTATTATGGATGAATATTAATCAATCAGTAAATACCTTTAAATAAAAATTAATATCAAATCCTGAATTCCACGTTCGCCGAAGCGACCTATAAGCAGATTTATCGCATAGAGAAAACCAAAGTGGTGAAGGGAATACCACTATATAGAAGAGGCTTTTACCAGGCTGCTAGCTTACCGAGCAAATGAAACGTTTTTTTTAAACAACAACAAAAGAAACCCCTCTTACGGCTGGCATGATGCCCTGTATTATACCGTTTTTAGCATGACTCCCATCCTCCTGGCTGCCTTACTAACTGATCAGGGTATGCTGAAAACATGGAACTATTAACTTTACACTCAGTGCCTGCCTATGATACCTCCAGCTTCACTGCCTGGCCTCACTTGTTCTTTGTATCATTCTCCTGTGTCGTCCGCTACCTCTCCTGGCCTGTCTGCCACTGCACCTGCCCGGATTGCTCGCCCTCGCTGTCTCTCCTCCCTGTTAACAGGATCCTCTTTACTCTAGGGGCTTCTAGGCTCTATTTTAAGTTTAATTTAGCGTTAAAATTCACGCTACACTTAAAAGTTTTTATTGGTTTAACTCACCATTAGAAATATCTTTACACTGTTTGTAAAACTACGCACCCTACAGTTTTGATTACAACGACCGGGTCGCGCCACTCCAAAGCGCACGATCTCGAAAAGTTGCGCGCAAAAACGACTTTTCAGCCAGGGCTTACAGACAGGGTGATTTCTTATTTATTAATTTAAAAGCAAAAGGATTGTAATATCTTCATAACGACATATAGTTTCAGTTACTATTACTTGGATAAATGTGTCCTAAACATGAAACACCTCGTTCGGTTAAATAGATTTAGGCTATAAATATAATTACACCTTTGTGATTAGGCACTCGGTCTGTAACATGCCCAAATATATTGGTAAATCGCGCAACTTATTCACGGTGGCCAGCCACGGCTCGGCGCGGTAGTCAATGGCCCGTGTCAAATTCGTTCCCAGCCTCCCCCTAGCGTTGCTGTATAATTAATTATAACCATTAAATTCAGCCGCGTATCTGGTAACAAAGTAGAGTGGGCTATAGACGAGATTTGTTATACCGTGTAAGTACAGTTGTATCTGCCAGCTAAATCCTAGACCCACACGAGTCTAGGTATTCCTTTTAAGCGACTGCCCTGTGCTGTCAGCCTACCTGCTGCCTGCCTGCCTGCCAACGTGCCAGGTCTGTTTGTGTACACCCCATGCCGCTTTTCTTGACTGCCTGCTGGCTCTGCCCCGTGCCAACTGCCCAGTACTGCCTTTGTGTACATCCATGCCCTGTTTCCTGCGGCTGCCGGCCTGCCTAGCCTGCCAACCTGCCGAGTTTGTTTGCCCCGTACACCCCCTGCCCTGTTTCTTGACTGCCTGCCTACCTGACTGCCTGCCTGCCAACTTGCCAGTATGTTTGTGTACATCCATGCCCTGTTTCCTGGCTGCCTGCCTGCATCGCTGCTGCCCTCCTGTCTGCTTAGGTGCATACCTGTATGTTTTACTGTCTGCTTCTCAGCTTGTCTCTTTCTTCATGCATACCATCACTGCCCATCTATGATCTATGGTGACCTGCTACACCTATGATATCTGTTATCTTAACCATCCATGACCTGTGTCATCTAATGAGCTTTGGAGAGAATAATGTCACCCGTACCCGTGTCATCATGTGATCCCCGTAGAGAATATTGTCATCTATCCACACATACCTGTATTACCATGTGAGCTCTATAGACAATGTTTTCTGTCCACCGATGCCACTTCTGTCACCACCGTGTACCCCTTGGAGGGACTAATGTCGTTCGTGTCACTGACTATTTCAGCGAAAGGAAGTGAAGCCAGAGGAACCAGCGCTGCGTCGGAAAGCAAAATTTCAGGAACTTCCAGAAGAGACTCAGGAAGAGGTCTGTGACCTATGGTGTACTCGATATGGCATACAGTATCTTGTACGGTCATCCATTCTCCCCTGACTTGGCGTAGTCAGGGACTAATATAGCTGCTTAATATGGGGAACCAAGGCTAGCTTAGCAAGCCTAAAAAAAATTATGGGACCGTTGGCGAGCGCAGCGGACCGAAAATGTTTTTTAGGTATAGGCCCGTAGATGTATTATAACATTAAAATTAATAACATCCTGTTATATAACACAATTGTTTTCAATATATCCAAGGATATGTTTTATTTTTACCTCAGATAAGTAACAGAATGAACCACTAGATATATTTTTAATATTACATTTAATTTTCACAATTTTCAGAGCTCTGCTAATTTTGGCGTTTTATGAATTTTGTAATTTGGGTGCCGGTATTCAGTATGAAAAATGGTTTGGATTAGACCCTGATAGTATCTTGGACCACCATCCGTTCTACCCTGAGAACACCATAAACATAACCCGAAACATGGTGCAGAACGCTGTCTGGTTGCCAATTCTCATCAAACATGTTCATGCATTCAATTCTACCCTAAGCATGGTTCTCCCCAGGCCTTTAATGCATGTCTGGTTTGACATGCCTTAAAAGCTGAAGCTAACTCGCGACATTACGTAAATCCTCTGACATGCCTTTATTGCCTCATTGACGTGCCTTAAAATGGCATGTTCTCGCAGCAAAATGTATAGTTATACCTACCGTGAGCTCGTCTATGTTGCATAAATTCACTAGACCTCATTTGTGTTGCTACTTACATAACATTCCTTTACAAAATCTAAACGAGAGTACTTGTCTTATGAAAGTAGCGCCACAGTGATGTTTACACATCCGAGACACAGCCGAGCGATCGCTAACAGTTCTTTTCTATGATAAAACAAGTTATAATTCATTATTATATGTTTGTTCAGTACAAAATTTTGAAATTTGTTTAAATCACACTGAATGTTTTTCGAATCCACATTACTCACATCACATCTCTCCCATTACACAATGAGCAAACAAATATACACGGTTTTCTTTCCAGGAACTATTTGCGTTAGCGTACCCCCTTCGCTCAACATAATTTATGTGTATCTATAAGCCGAAATGACGGAAACTCTGTCGGACGTTGTTTCAAAATCCTCTAGTTCGGAGCACATTTCTGACTCAATAAGAACATTTCGTGATACTTGCATACTGCAAGTATGCTCACAGTAGGTGTATGTAGTACGGCTTTTTGTTTATCCACTTTAATGTCCAGCTGTGTTTACTTTTTATCATTCCCAACACAATCATGCTGCGTTTTCACAGCTTGATGTATAAGTCTCTGAACTGATAGAGTACTGTACCCAAAGAGAACTGATTACTTGTGTATTAGTGCTGCTCGTGATATGCGTAAATGACTGCAATTAATATTCGGGTATGATAGCAGCCCGATTGCCAGACATGTCTTCTGAAGTACCTGGGGCTAGAACCCTGCCCAATGTAGCTATTGTTTATTCACTCCCTTGTCCTTCCTCATTCAATTCCCTCTGCTCTCTGTGCTCGTAGATGTGTTTAATTTTTTTAAACGCGAGTGTTTGTCGTTGCAGAAACATCGCCGACTATCGCGACCCGTGTCTGCCCCCGCGCCAGATACGACCCCCGTCACTCAGGTTCCCACAACCGAGAACAGGTACGGCGGCATGGCGACCCCCTGCGAGGAGCTCACGTGTGCAGCGGCCATTGCACGACTGGCCGGCGCGCAGCGCCATCTTTTGGTGGCTAAGGAACTTTTTGCAGCGACGTGCCAGTCATTGTCTGCACTCTTTTTTTCTCGATCTTCATGCAGAGAGCTTATCTTCTTACTATTCATGGCTGCTTTCTGTGTTGTTTGGATTCGGCTCGTACATTTCGCATCCAAATTATGAAATTCGAATGCTTTTGAAGTCAGATCCTTTGTACATTCCACGCTCGATGTTGATTTAGAAGTTCCTGATGTTGAATCACATATTTATAATGTTGAATTCGATATTTTTATTTTTAATTAGATATTTGTATATGTCACTCACTATCTTTCTCCCCGTAAGTAGTCACATTGTGATTTGGGCATACTTGTAAACTAGTGTGGCTAACTCTTTTTTCAATACCTTGCATGCATATAAATATCTTGTGGTGTGCGTGATTGTTACAGTGCGTGTGTTTCTCCCTTGTTGCATGTAGATATAGCTATCCAGTCTCACAACGTTTGGCAAATAGAAAACTATCACAGCCCTACTCTGTACTAACACGGAAAGTTATGGCCAGAGGCAGCATTACCGTGCCGGCAAGCATTGCCACGACGACGAGCGTTGCCACGACGACGAGCATTTCCACGACGACGAGCGTTATGACGCCGAACGTGACGACGGCGGCGGCGCCGTCAATGGCCGTTGCCGTGGCGACCAGCCCGCCGCCGTCCGCCACCCTGCTGCATCTCAGGCAACGACTGAATGAGATCACCGAGTCGACAGCGGTTACCATGACGACGGCAACGGAGAGGCGACACACCCGGAGGTACATCAGCAGCGCCACCTACATTGACAGATACCCCTTCCCTCGCAGCCGCTGCTGACACACGTTCAAGAGATGCCATCTGCCACTGCCACTGCCGCTCCCCCTTTTATCTGTAGCGCATATGTGCGCAATGCATGTACGCTGCATGCTATACGCGCACGTTTTTTGGCTTTCGTGTGTACTTTCTGTGTGCTGCGTGGCTGATTGCATGAGTTGATCTATCTGTGCATGACCACTGGCTGGCACGCATTTCCCCCCCCCCCAATTTATATATTCCCCCTCATGTGTGCATGCCTGATTGATATCTTCAGGGACCCAAAGTCATTGTTGCACCTCTGTTATTTGAATGTGGGAGTGACAATGGCTAGCACACCTCTGCTTTTCCTCCATAAATGAGCTGTATATATCAGGTCATATCGAGCCCCTGACCAGATATACGTGAAACCAATCTTCCGTAGTTGAGTGGTGGAATCTGGACTGTGAGGCTGAGAAGCTCATGCACGTACACCTGTACAAACGCAGGGCAATTGCGCGTGAAATGTGTCTGAGCCACGTCGGCTGGCTTCTGAGAAAAAAGCCGCAGAGCTGAAACACCAGCATCCGTTCGCACAAAGCGCGCTCACTGTGAAGGATGACTAGACTGCTTGTTGCATTGCTGGAAGCTGATGGCTCGCCGTGCGACCATGACTTGAGTGGCTGGCATTTTGCGAAGGCCATATCCCAAGTTCCCCGTCAGCCCACGAGCGTATGATTCGGTGTTATATCTCCCTATTACCACCTCGTTAGCATTATTTATTTATACCTGTGAGAATACAGTCAAACCTGTATATACTCACCTGTAATTAGGCAGGTCACTCTAAGCAAGACTCCAAAAATCCTTTGGAGACAGGTGACGATTCTGTATCAATTGGTGGTTTCACGGTATTACTGCCATTCAAGGGAAATGCCACAAGGATCCTTCATAGACAGGCTAACACAGGTTTGACTGTAGGTCTGCATGTTAAACCTAATTGTGAGAGACTTATAGCAACAACATTTTAACATCTGACCGGCGTACATTTTAAACGGTGCTTGGTAATACTAAAACAGCGTGAAATGTATATAGCGAAAGTACATAGTAAGTATAGCGGTAGCTAGTAGGGGTGTAACGATTAACCGCGATTGAAACTCTATCGCGGTACATCCCGTTCGGTTCGGTTTTCTTTTCTTTTTTTCCGTTTCGGTTCTCGGTTCGGTTCCGGGAAATAGATTCAACCCACTCTCAGTTAGGGGGCGCACACGGCGAGCAAACAGCTCAGCAGTCAGCACTTACGCCAAGCCCCGTCCCTCGCACTATTCTCAGCGTGTGCGGGGTGACAATGCGTGAGATTTTGGTCATTCGTGCCGCTGAAGAAAATATCCAATGCGTTTGATATCGTGATATATAATATTATGATAGGTATTATTATTAGCTCATCTGACATAGTCGGAAATGCAGAATTGCGGCACAAATCTAAATGGCTCGACCTAGGCTCGTGATAGTCGGTATATAGCATCATGCGCCGAAATTGGAGGTCACAGGTCAAAGGGCAGTGTGGGAAAAGTCAGATATCAGACATTTTCTGAGGACGTGGCCTAACGGACAGAGTGGAAAACTTTTTTGTTTCAGCGCTGACTTGCCATTTTTATCACTTTATTGAAAGGACCATGAAATGTGCTTTCCACTGACGTGCGAAGAGTAAATGTCTGATAACCTTTTGACCCTCAAGAGGAGGGTTAAACATGGATTCCTGAACTGCCTCAATGATGTCACAGTGTTCTCATATTCATGGCACATCCATAATCTGGAAACCCAATATGCCTCGATAGCCCAACGGCTACAGCACAGGATTACGGCTCAAAGGTCCTTGGATCGAATTCCATCAGATTTTTTATTATTTACCTGTTTTCTGTATTTTTCTATCTTTATCCATTTAACTATTTCTTTCCAATTAAGGAAAATGTTTACATGATTTATTTACAACAATTTCATAACAACAAATAATTTTTACAATTAAATTATTTTTTTTTAATATGGTTAGGTTTAGGGTTAGGGTCACATAAAACAGGAGTTTCAGGCACGCGATTTGTATCGACCAATTGGATTTGGGAGGTATGCAGAATGCAGAAGGTTGCTGAAATGATGTGTACGCAACTGCGTATCTGTATATCTGCGCCTAACAAAGGTGTCACTACGCACGACGTAAATGTTACGTTTATAACCGTAGCAACAGACCTCAGATGAGCCCAGACGCTCTGCGGCTCTTGTTATTCAAAATGGAGGGAAGATTTTCTCATCTTGTCAGCATTTTTACTACTGAAAATAACCGAACCGAAGAGCAAAAACCAAAAACCGAACCGAATCGAAACAAAATGTATCGTTACACCCCTAGTAGCTAGTATAGAACTCTACTCACATACTGCGTTTGATACTAAAACACCGTTTGCACTATGCCCATTTGCACTGATTATTATTAGCAATGTGTGTGTCTGTGTGTGTGTGTGTGCTGACACAGCTATGTGACTGTGTTGTTGTCCTTGCTTGGCTGTGCTGTAGGTCAGTGGTGCCGCCTACTCCGGACGAGGAATCTGAGACGAAGCGCAAGGCGAGGTCGCGTCTCGCGAGACAGACGAGACGCTCGACGCAGGGCGTGACAGGAGAAGAGATTGCTGAGGCGCAGGTGTGTGTGTGCGATGTGAGGTCACGGCCGTGTAGGGGGGTCATTGTCATGACTGAGGTCACCGCTGTGTAGAGGTCAATGTTCATCATGACTGATGTCATGTCCATATAGAGGTCATTGTCATGACTCAGGTCATGGTGGCTGAGATCACTGCCTTACAGAGGTCATCATGGTAACTGAAGTCATGCCTTAGTAGAGATCGTTGTGGTTACTGAGGTCACGCCTGTGCTATAATGTCGTATAATCTGGCTGTGCTGTGTCATCATGCTGTCTCTATTGTTCGCACAGCAACAAATGGAGCAGTGGAAGAAGGACAGGGAGAGGAAGCAGCAGGAGGAGCAAAAGCAGACAGAGAACAAGACTCCGGAGAAATCTCGAATACCGAGTCTGCTCGACAAATCTGCTGTAAGTACCTGCTCTGCATACATGCGTGCGTGCATGTGTGCGCATGTGTGTTTGTGTTTGTGTGTGTACCTGTGCGTGCATGCGCGCATCCGTGTGCGTGTTTACGTGCAGGCACACTGCCATTGCCACCACATGTAAAATAAACATCATCGACAACATATTACGCTTCTGAGATTGAGTTTCGTCATATCAGTGAGTAAGAATGCTCATAATAAGTGAATAATTGGTCATGGTTAACAAAATGCTACTAATTCTTTGCGGTTTTTTATTTGTTTCCCTGCACATGCATGTAAGTTGCTTTTTTACTGATGTTGATTTTACTGCAATTTTCGACGAAATCATTTGCGAGTGAAGAAGTCTCTAACGGAGCGTCGTTGTCACTGTAGCAGGACAAACCCAAGCTGGCAGTTCCGGAAGGCAATGGTCCTCCTCTTTCACCAGGAGGCAGAAGGAGACTAATGGGGCAGGTCGGCACGTCTACACCCGCGGCCACGCAGTCAGTGAGTCAGCCCGTAAGAAAGCCGGTAGGAAAGACGGGTAAGTTTTCCAGCAGGGCGTGGAGACGTATGCGAGATGAGAGAGGTAAACGGGGAAGGCTGGACGAGAGATAAGGAGAAACGATGTTGGGGTTAGTGAGTTCTAACGTTAGTGTTTATACCGAAATTGTCAGGTATTTATTTATGGTAATTCCATTTATTTAACCTGTTAGTAATAGCAATGTGCTTAAGTAACTTCCTTCAGCTTGACAAAGACGACTAGATGGGTTATCGAAATCGATGTAAACCGGTTAAATTTATAGATTAATCATGATTTTTTTTACACAAGTCAAAAGATAATCTATATCATACTGTTGTAAGAGTATGTTTAGTTGAGCATGAATAGGAGTTGTGAGTACGTAATGAAGGTAAGGAGTACGTGAGGAGTCTTCTGTGTTCTCAGTCAGAATGAGAGTGCAGCATGCAGAGAGATGTGTAAACTCGACGTGGAGTGCGAGAGGAGGCTGCGTTTGTGATATCAGTGGCGAATGAGGAAGGCAGACATACTCTGTTGATGCAGCGTGTCTTCCTGCTTTAGATGACAAGGAGAATGAGCAGAAGCCAGATAAAAAGCAGCAGGAAATGGAAGAGATGGAGAGGAGGCGAGAAGCCAACCTGAGGCGGAAACAGAAGGTGCGACAGCGACGCGGTACTGGCACCATAATAGCAGACGTACGTAACCCAGGTTTATCACGCACCGTCACCATAATCTTTGCTTCCTACTTTTATCTTTACTCTTTATCTGTGTGTTTTCCAACTCATCCATACAATTTGGATGAATTATCCATTACATGATAGCAGAATATTATGAGCACAAGAAAATAGTATAATATAATCAGGAGTGAATAATAATAGTAATAATAATCTATTATTATTCACACCTAATATAATCTAGGACAGACTTGTAACAGAGTGTTTTACAGTACAGTTGTACCGATTGTCAGATGTAAAATTTCTACAGGGTGCATTCCTTAAAAGAAAGGTAAATGCTGATAGAGAATGCCAACTGTTTTGCTGCACTGGATTGCAACTGTTTACTGCACTTAAATTCATCTCGATTGCAGGAAGATGAAGAAGAGGAGGAAGAACCCACGAAAGTGCTCAACTCTAAGCCGGAAGATTCGAAAGTTAGTGTTTCACATTTGTGGATCGGTGACTCACGATCTTTACGTGTCGTGGCTTCGCAAAACACCTTGAGCTTGCTATGTCATTCTCGTCGGCTTGTGCAGTATCGCAGTATTGTTGGCATTGTTTACTGTTCTGTGCTGGTAGGTGGCACCACTGACCACTTACACTTGACAATTTCATGCAATATCACAGTATCGTTGGCATTGTTTACTGTTCTGGCATTTTTTACTATTGATGGCACCACTGACACTTGATCTGTTATCTGCAGAATCTCAGTGACAGATCTCGAGCGCAGCCTGCGTCCATCAGTGAACGCTTCATGATCACGAGGAAACCTTGCTCTCAGGAAGACTTCAAAAAGGTGAGTCTACATCTACGTTTAATCGTCGTGGGCTAAATAATAGCGTCCGTAGTATAAGTATAAGTATAAGTAGTATAATAAGTAGTATATAATTAGTATAATAAGTAGTATATTATAAGTAGTAGTTAATAAGTAGTATATATTAAAGTAGTATGAGTATAAGCACCGTCCGTAGTGAACCCCATACAGGGAATTGCAGTTTAGTGTTAACCTTTTAGTGTTACTCCGACCTCGATCTACCTTGATTATTCCCTCTTTTTTTTAATTAGTTAGAGCTACCTTGTCTATAGCAATCTCCGACGCTATTTTTTCACTGAATCATGTCAAATTATAAATATCAACATTGGCACTGGTAATGTTATTTATTTATTTATTTATATATTAATTGCTACCGTGCCATTCCTCTTTGCCATTCTAATATTGCCCAATATTTTCCTCCTCCTTTTATCCTAGTCTTGAAAAACATGGAAAACAACCCTCAATTGATCCTCCTGACACTCATTCAAATGACCTTTGTTCAAATTACTGTCCCTGTACTGTGTAAAATTGCACCCGTGTAAAGTTATATGTTTCATACCATTGCATCAGAAGTGTTATAACATTGATCATATAGATCATATATAATATAGATCATATATATCATAGATCATATATATAATCTGATATGACACTCCTGGTTGCGTGGTATGGTCGGTGTAACTCTATAACGTCCATAGTAATAAAAACTCCGCGTGTAAAAGTGCACCAGTGTAAGGTTACGTACGTTGACCCACCGCGTGGTGTGGTGGGAGCTGACAACATCATAGCAGACTGTAACATGCACTGGCTTACATTCTGACAGCTCTATGAGGATACTCAGTCAGAGAACAGACAGCTGAAGGACAAACTGAAGACCAGGGAGAGAGACCTAGAGGAAATCAAAAAGAAGTTGGATCAGGCGTTAGCGGTGAGTTCGTGGCGGGTGTGTCGTACGTGAGATTCGTCAGCTAATTGGGGGGGGGGGGCAGGCGCTACTATTGCCAAGCACAGCTTGCACGGCAATGATGCTTAGGTTTCCTGACTGATCACGTAACATTATTTATATTTATATTATCTATTTATTATATTTAATAACAAAACACTTATAACACAACTTTACTAACCATATAAAATGACATTTTTAGCAGTCTGCTTCCTTTGCAACTCTTACTGCACTCCACGAATGAAACAACCTTGGATAAACAATGAATAGAGAAGGACTGGGGCAGAAATTCAACACAAATGACTGTCATAAGGCGATTTCACATGTATAGAAGACTGACCCATCGAAATAGCCATGTATTTTATTTTCGATCAGGGTATTAATTTAAATCCCACTGAAATAACGGCAAAAAGTGAAGTCTTTCTTAATTACACACATGCGTACGCATAGGCGCATGCATGTGCACAATCACAGATGCATGTATAAAAACACAAACACTTGCATAGGCACGCACATGCATACAATATTGACCAATGTTGAGGTGTACAATGTTTGTGTTTTTGTTTTCCGGTGCAGCTGAAGAATGGCAGTATAGGGCAGCTTGCAGCCGAAGCTAATAGAAAGGTAAGTGAGTGATCGACGGTGCTTTTCTTGTTTTCGTGGTTTCTTGCCGTGTCAGTACTCAGTAGTCCCACATGGTAGCAGTGTGCTATAACAGCATATTCGTTTGTGAGTGGTCCTTCTGTAGCGAGAACTGTACCCGGTGAAACGTCTCACCGTGTAGCAAGCCAATTCAGTCACCAGGTAGCGCTACTGGCATGGCTTCGGTGCATTTTTTTCTTGTCGTGGAGTGCTAGGCGTCTCAAGTGCAAGCGTGTTCAAATGTGGTGCGGCGATTTTTTTCCTCTTATAGCAGGCGGATGTTATATTGTTTTGCTGCATTTCATCCTCGTGCTGTCATAGACGATGAATTTAGTGACAGCCTGATAGGCATTTTTGATTGAATGATTGATTGGAAGGTAACATGTCATCCTAAATAATGTTCACACTCAGGTTAAACTGTAGATCTGTATTGAGAGGGACGGCTGTACGACGCAGTTGATAGCGGCGTGTTTTTCCCTCTCTTCTTTTTGTTATTATAGTATTAGTAAATGTTACATAGACGTACAACGGATAGTTTAGATAAATAGCAGGATGGCATAACCTCTGGTCCTTCCCATGAGTGGCCGCCCAACGTGTCACCCGACTGTGTGTTCTCTGGTAACTCAGTAGCACTTTCCTACATTCTTATTTAGCCTCATAACCGCATTATTTGGCTAGCTGTATCATGCTCTCGACTAACAAATAGATACTTTCATGCATCCATCCTCTGCTCGCCCTCACACTCCTACATGTGTCAGATCGCTTTCTATCATCATCCGTTATCATCAGAAATATATCGCCGGTCTTTTCCCTTGGTCATCGTCATGCGATTCATCATACTCCATCATATGATCATCTCACACTTATCACTCTGCCACTTTCCGTCCCTAACCCTATCTTCTCTCCCTAACCATGATCACGTGTGCCCCCATCACTCATCTGTCGTCCCATTCATCTGCCTTAATTGCGCTGCCTTATTCCTGATGTTTTTCCCTTCTGTCATTAATTGCTTCCTATACCTCCCCTTTCTGGCACCCTTCACCTTCCATCTATACTCTCTCTCGTTCCTCTTCCGTCTAGCACCTTTCCCTTTACATCTATATTTCCTCCCAATATTTCCCTATCTGGCAAACTTCCCTCAATTCCTGCCCTGCCACGTCCTTGATTCTATCCTCATTTCCCCTTCTCCTGCGCATCCTCGTCTTGTTAAGAGGTTCTCGCTGTGATGTGAGATCCGCGCGCTCAGCGCCTACATCTGTGCGTATTACAGGAGAGGCGAGCGCTAGAGATGAAGATATCCGAGCTGGAGGAGCAAGTGAAGGTTTGCCGTCGTTTCGTGTTTCTCTCGTCCGCTCGCCCCCCTGCACCGTCGCCGCCGCTCTGCGCTTTTCCTGCCGCCTCGCTCTTCGCTCGCTCGCCGCACGGACTCTACCGTCGTCGCGTGCGCAGCTCCGCCTCCTCTCTCTGCCCTTCTCTTATTCTTCTCTGTGCGTTCGTGTAGATAGTAATGCGATGCGGCCGGAATTACTTGTTGTGCTTGCCTACGAACATCCTCGACACTGCGTCGTGGCGACGGCTGTGTGCTTATGCATGCTCGCTATTACTCGGGAGAGTTCGTTGAAGAGCAGTGTATTCATTTAATTTGCTGTGGGTAGCAGCTGCATATATGTATTTGTTTCGCCGGGCGATTCTTTTCCGTTATATTCTTTGCCAGATGGTAGTGATTTCGTTTCGTAAATAATCCCTACGCACTGTTCTGTTGACGACGACGTGAAACTCGCGCGGCATACGAGGAACGAGCGGCGAGCAACTCTACCCGCTAGAGGGCGCCGCGGCTGCCACGTGCTGACGTACTTACATGTCTTTCAGAACTTCGATAACATAAAGGCCGAAAACCAAAAATTGAGAGATGAGAACCGAGCGCTGACTCGCGTTGTTGCGAGGCTGAGCCGATAAGCTCAGAATAGGTAACGCACGACGTCACACGCGGTGCATGCGCGTGCTGCCACCTGCCGGCGAACAACACAAACAAACCGCTGTGTGTGTCTGTCTTAACAGCAGGCGGAGGGTTCGCTGTTTGTACGATGCATCGTGCTGTTACTGACGTTGTTGCTACGTTGACGGGCGCTTGTGTTTCGCGATGTTTGTCGAAGCTATTGTCGAGCATGATGAGTTGCCGGGAAGCAATTTGAATCGAGCTCTAACGATCGTTCAGCATGAGAGATGTATTAGAAGTGTGCGCGTGATCATCAGTCACCGGCTCGGATAGAGACTCGCGAAATTAATAATTCCCAACCACCTAGCATAACTACCAGCAACAGTAGTATTTGATATATTAAAAACAACAATAATATTATTATTATATGTTATTAATTATGAATAACAACGAATTTAAGAAAACAAATGGAGCGAAATTGATAAATGTAATAAGAACTGAAAACCGCTAACACGAAAAGAAAGCGATTCAGGCGCATGGTTTCAAGCATGACACACGTATAACTGAAACACCTCACTACTGGATCAGAGCTAGACACTAATGGCATGTGAGCGACTGTACTCTCTTCACGGGTGGCGACTTTAATATCGATATATTCGCGTGGAACCACACTACATGTCTCTGCTTGTTAGGATAGGTTCATGACTTCATGTTAACTGTTTCTAACCCGATCTAGTTCAAGTCGACATCGGTGAGCATTATTTTGTGATAGAACAGTGGCGCCCCCTTCTGCTCGCTTGCTAGCCACGCGCGATGTAATATTGCAAAAGAAGAGAACAGCTGCTTGTAACTGTCTTGCTTGTAATATTGCTTAGCCTTGTGTCATTGATCAGTGTTAATATATAACGATTTTGTTTCTAGGTGAGACAGGATGGCTAGATAGAGGTCGCTTGTCTGTGTATTCTGTGTGTCTGTGAATGCGTTACAATTAAACACGTCCTATGTTTTGCAATACATTTCTTTGTTCATTGAATTAAAAAGGCTTACGTTTCAGGCAGCTAGTGTATACATTATACCTGGCAGGGAGACATGTGACGTGTAGAAAAATGTCGTCTAGTGTCATTGTGCTTTCCATTATGTAATAGGACATAATAAGATGATGAGCTATATTTAATAGGTGTGTGTGTATGATATTCGTTGCTCGGCTATGGTAGTCTATTGTAATTCACAATCACATACCTACAGCTATATTGCTCATAGCTGTAAGTTCGAGGTGTCGTTTCGCAGTGGTTTAATTTTTGTGAAGTTCGCAAACGCATTCACCGACCGCGAAATTAACCACTCGCGAAATTGTCCGTCAAGTCTGAATTCGCGAAAATATCTGTACGCGATAAATATGGCGTATACAGTAGTTGTTTCGCAGTTGTTTAAATGTCACGTCATTTGCGTCGTCGATCGGCGAGGAATTGGTGTGTTCTAACGCGTGTGTCGTGCGTTTCAGGAGATGGATGCATTTCGCAGCGACAACCAGCGTTTGAAAGAGGAGAACGCCGCCTTGATACGAGTCATCAGCAAGCTGTCTAAATGAGGAGCGCGAGTGATGTCACTGCCGGACACCGACGGATACCGACGGACCCCGGAGAAACCTTTTCCATACGCTTTTCGTACGTGTCGAGGCGAGAACGAGGTCCGTGTTATTCGAAGGCAGGCGGCGTTCGTTCGTTGCTTAATTGGAGCTAAGCAGGTGTACGTAGGTGTACATGTGCATATACATGTGCATGTGCCTGTACGTATATGCGTGCGTATGCATGTGCATGTGCGTATGTACGCGTGCGTATACATGTAGTTGTACATGACGTAGATGTTACGTCAGGTGTTCATAACTGCAATGTTTCCTGAAAGATTTGTGGTGTGCCCAATTATGTGTCTGCCGTTCGCACTGGTTTTCGGCTCGTGATTTTACACGTTAGATTCGTTTAAAAAAACGGAAAAACGTTTTCGATTTCTTCTGGGTGCGGAGGAGGCATGTGCACCTGCTACGGTTTTTATGCACGCGAGCTTGAGACTTGGCTTCACGTTATTATAGTAATGATTGTTCTCGATCGAGTTGCCGTACCTGTGTTTTAATAATAATCTGTATCATACACGTAATTTTGTATCATATCATTTATTATGTACAGCACACAAAATACACATATCTCCGTGATTGCAAACAATTGAGGCTTACATGATTATCAATTATTATTTGCATTTATGAATGAATTGTGCATAGTTGCCCCTCCTGAGATTAGCTGGAGGAGATAAAAGCTGCGTAGTCGGCTGCTGCTGCGTCTGCGCGCGAGGTCACGGCGTGTGGAGATATTGAGTTGCAAAGACCTGCTATGCAGGTTAGCGGCATCTCTGGATCGGATCTCTGGATCGGATTTCTGGATCGGATCTCTGGATCGGATTTCTGGATCGGATCTCTGGATCGGATTTCTGGATCGGATCACTGGATCGGATTTCTGGATCGGATCTCTGGATCGGATTTCTGGATCGGATCTCTGGATCTGCTGCAGCTCCACCGCAGTATTCATCGAGTTCTAGTTGCTTGTGCTTGATGTGACCTTCAGCGTATGACCTCTGTGTGTGACGTCATCACGTTGCACCCGTCGTAGTTGCCGCTGCACCATAGCTGGAAAGAAAACCCAGCACTGCTATCTCGTGGCGCGTCTAGATTTCTCTCGCGCAACTTTCGCAGAACCTTTTCGTGAAATTCGTTCGGCGACGTTCTCGTCTTGGCGTTCTGTTTTGTCGATGGTGTATGTGCAGTGGTCCATAGCCAGAATTGTTTCCAGGTTTTGTTACCTGTGCGTCATCAGCATCGATGAATTGCACGCATTTCCTGATTTCGCTGCTGTCATGAGACGTAGGAATGTAGGCCAATATCTGGATCAACATACACTCGGTTTGGTTAGCGCGCACACCGTTTATGTTGATATACCGTGATGGATTATATTGCTATGTAATTCTGTAGGTTGTATCTCGTTGTATCATACTTATACCCGCATTATATGCTCATATTTTGCAACCCGCAACCCAATGAAAATGACTGCCGAGTCGGTCTGTCTGCAAATTACAAAAGATCAGGTAATGTGATTAAGACATCGACGGCCGGCACCTACCCTGTTAATCGGTGTTGATCTAGGTGATTGGTAGTGGCGATGTTATTTGATCGTTGTTGGTTTGTTATTTGATTAATCGACACACGGCGTGCATGCGATTTTTGACTAGGATTGTTGTTCTAGTGCTCTTCTGCGTGAAAAGATACATTCTACCAATTTGATATTTACTATCCGCTTCGCTGTTTGCATGTAAAGCCTGTAACCACAAAGGCACTGGTGAGCAGCAATGTGGAGGCCGCATGCTGCTGTTTTCACGCCTACCGTAAATTAGGCCTAGCTTGTGGTTGCATTACCGACTGCAGTGCCTCTATATTTATACGCAGTCATATTTATTCGTACCGTAGTCTTTTATAGCGTGGTCACCGCATAGTCGCGTGTAGCATGCCCTCGGCTTGCTGCGGTTGATGAAGTGAGGGCTTTTGTACAGAAATTATATGCAGGTACAGAACAACGTTATTGTTATGGAAAAAATATCGGTAACTGTGAGCTTCGATTCCGCTGTTCTTTGTTTGATTTTGCGATGATTTGCAAATTAACCATAATTATAATTGTTTATAGAGGCAGTTCACAATTATCTGCATTATCCCATTTGTAAAAACACGAAATAATGAATAGGGGCAACCGTCCCCCTTACAAAGAAATACAAATTAGTATCCCTCCAGGGCCAAGTTACTTCCCTCCAGATTAAAAAAATAATTATTATAATATGTATACTTTTATAGGGGGAGTGGTCATGGAAAATGTATGCTTGTGATAATGTTGATGATTGCGAATCTCTTAGCAGAACAGAACGAGTAATATCTGACGAGAAACGCAGCTGTTATAATCGTAACAGATTTATTGTCAACCATGAGGAAAGGAAACTGAAATGAGCAAACTGCCGGCATAGAGACCGGCACAAAATTGCTGTGAAATAATAGACACTGCCTTTATATTATCAAAATATTAATTTATATTTACATCTACTGACACCGCAGAGCTGCCACATAATTATATATATATATACAATCAAGATAATTAATATTGCTGTCACATAATGTTAGTATAGACATCCCTAATGTAGACGTAATTACAGAATTAACGATGCATTATGTCAGCATGCCAACCAGACTACACATTTTGGTCATGATTGTTGTTTCGGCTAACCTAGCTTCTACAAGTGCACAAAACTTGTCACGTTCCTATAAAACATTGCAGTGTCACAATACTCCTGTCACATGGCAGTAGGTTTTGTCCCTACCGACGTGTAGATAAAGCAGTCGAATTTGGGCTCTATGCGACAAATGTAATAAAGCTAGAACTAAGTCACTAAATAACAAGTTCCAAGCTGGCGATTTAGCAGGGTGAGCTACTTTTCAGGAAAAGATCGAGAAATGTGTAGTTCCGTTTTATTTGATGTTTTAGGGTGTGAAAAGAAACGTGATCTTAATGCTTAAAGAAACTGGTTGATATGCCAATAACATTTAAATTAACTACAATTAAAACTACGTTTAATTATGGCAAACACGCATTTCGCAGCAACGCGAAAGGGTCCATTACATACAGCTACAAGAACGTTAGGTAAATTCGATTAGGTGTTATAATTAACCACGTCCACATATTCCATATAACTACACGGCTATGGACAGTGAAAAATATGCCCGTTAACATAATCATCAGGAGAGAAAAAAAATAAAAACGTTTTCACTCACTCCTGTAATAATGCCTAATTTTGTGCATTCATCTACAACATTGATGATTTATTTTTCCAACTACATAATCATGCTTTCACGCCATTGAAAATGATTGCTAAACTCGGTTGGGCAAGCTGCACACGCTGAGGCTTACTGCGATGTCATCACGGCTACAAGTAGTTGCGACCACACTACCAGCTATTATCAGATACCAACGATCATGCCAGTGCTCTAACACCACAGCTCGCATCGCATCATTCAGATCACAGAATAGGCGATAACACCTGTGATAGCAAAGCAGTACATTGTACAAATTTGTGTGTACCCTCTACATGCCACGCACAAATGTTCCCACCCTAATGAAATGGATGTTGCCATTACCACGATCGTCAGCCGTTCCTAGTTATCACACGGCAATAATTACTAAAAAGTCTTTGGTTCTAACCCAACACATACATATATATATTCACTGCCTGATACTAAAAACACACCAAAATACACAATAGAAGAAATCTTCAAAGTAAATAGGATAAGGTCACTTCGAGTCGTAATCGCCACTGTCGATAAACCCATGACCTTAATCTATATCAATGAGCAAGTTGGACATGATTGAAGGTTGAGACAAGTATTCCAGCTGAGACATGAGAGGCACAGAACATTCCAACAGCCCACCTATCCATACGGTTACTCCCTGAACT